AAACAGAGCCCTGGAGGGGCCAAAGAAAGGGGTTGGCTGTGGGGCTGGAAGTGGTCTCTGCACTTCACATGTCCCTAACCTCTGGATCCCTGAGGTGGTGGGTACTTTCCCCATGACTTTCAGCTGCCCTTCAAGACAGGTCTGGGGGTGGGCCTTGGGGTGTCTGGGTTTGGATTTCTATTTTACAAGTTACACAAACCTTTTAAACCCCACGGCCCCTAGGAACCACAAAGACTATCATTAGAGGCATCTGCACTGAACAGGGGCAAGGGGGAGGGGTGGGCAGAGATCTAAGACCCAACTTTGGGGATGGGCTACAAGAGCAGAGTGAGAGGGAGCCTGGGAGGGGGCTCAGAGCTGGGAGGAGGAAGAAAAGGGGCAGAAGTGCAACTGGACCCTCTGGGGGAGCAGCAGAGAGGCCAGGACCTCTCCCAGGTTGGGGACAATGGCTGGAAGTGGGAAGCTGTAAGAGGGACACAGGGTTCAGCTGGCCAGATTCCCAGCCACTGAGCATCAGTCAGGAATCCTTTCTGCCCTAGGCACAGGCTTTTTAGGGGGTAGCAGGGGTGGGGCTCTCTGGGTGGCAGAAGGAGGGACAAGAGGCCCTGGGTATCCCTGCCCCTCCCTCCGAATTCCCCTAGGGAAAAAAGTGATTGGCTCTGCCCCTCCCAGCCCCAGCTTGTCTTGCTCTCCTACCTAAGCAGCTTTAGCTAATAGCATTAAGGGAGGTCTCAAGACTAACCACTCTCCACCTGGGGCTGAGATCAAGGGAGAAACCAGAGGATTCCAATCAGATTCCAGATTTGGGAGAGGGTGAGAATGGCAGTTTACTTGGAGCTAAAAATAAAACCCATCTCTGAGTTAACACTGCCTTGTCCCTCTGATACCCACCCCCACTTGCATGTCTGAACTTCACCTGTGTTCACAGGCCCATTTCCACTCTATTTCTCTGTCTCATTCTTTCTGACTCTCTCTTGTCTCTATCCTCCACCTCTGTATTTAGAAACAGTCCCATGTTCCCACTGAATCAATCAAGCAGTCTTCAGAAGACTTGGTTGTGTCCAGTCAGTCAGATTATGCAGCCCTTCAGAGGGCCCCACAACAAAGTGACTTCTGATGCAAGTTTCTACTTTGCAGAGACGCAGCACTGGTCTTGAACTCTCAACTTTTTTTTTTTAACCTGGGTGTGTTCCTATCCTTCTCATCCTTTCTGTTGTCCAGTCTGCCCATCTGACTGTCTGTCCTTTGGCTTCCTGCAGCCTACACGATAATTTTTCTGGCAAAGAGCCCACTTCTTTTGCCTCCTTCCAGCCTCCTCTATCTGCTCCCAAGTTTCATTCTCAACATTTCTGCCCCGATTGACTGATTACAGCTGAGAGCCCAAAGTCAGACAGACCTGTTCCCATCTGGCTCCACCACTTGCCCAAGGATCTTATGCAAGTCTCTAAATTGTCTGAGCCTCAATTTCCTAGGCTTGCAAAACAGAGAAAATAATACTCACCTTGAAGGGTTATTATGAAACCTTGGGGAAGTAACATATAACAAAAACATGTCAAGCTCAGTGCTGGGTGCATGAAAGAGACCCAATTCATATTAACTGAACTCTTAAAAAGGTAAAATCTGGTTTTGGGCATTTCCTTTGGCTCCAAGTCCCAGCTTAAGGCTTACTCCCTATTGTTATCACCATGATCTCTTGCTTCTATTAAATAATAACCTAAAACCTACATGTGTTGTAACTTGTATTGGCCAAGGGGATTAATCATATTATTAGTAAGCAGAATGATGGTGATGACAATAATAATTGCTTGCTGCTCTAATCCTTCAAGAAACACAAAGCGCTTAAGAGTGGCCACTGATGTTTCAAGATTGGGTTATGATCCTTTTTGATGTATAGCTCTCAGGAATTGTCCTCCTAGGACTGTAGGGGCTGTGCAGGGCATGGTAGAGCTACCCCAAGCTTTGTACAATTAGCTCACAGCACAAGAGGGAGGGAGCTGGGAGTTGGGGAAGTGGGACAGAGTGGGACCACCTACCTCCATCAGCCTTGGGAGCATCACCAGGAGTGTGGGTTAAAATAAAGCACAAAGAATTAAGGTTAAACACCAACAGTAATTCTTAGGCAAGGAGGTGGAACTAAAATCTGTTCTTCTCTGAGGGTCCCCATGGTTGGGCAGCTCAAGGTCTCCAGCAGAAAAGAAAGAATTTAAGGGGAGACAGTTGACAAAGCTTTCCAGCAGTGAAGATTTCCACCTCCAGGACCAGCAAGCTCCTCAGAGACTTGGGATTACTGGAGGGACTCTCACACATGCCAGCCAGGCCAGGGAGGGCTATAGCATTCAGGCACTCAGGAAACCTAGAGGTTGACCCACTCTGGTTCTGTATCTTGAGTTTTATTCTTTTGGGCACATTGGTAGGCTATGTATGTGGCTGAATATTATAAATCTTTTAAAAATATATACAAACTTTTAAATTTTTTATTAATTGATTTTAGAGAGAAAGGAAGGGAGAGAGTGAGAGAAACATCAATTTGTTGTTCCACTTGTACATTCTTTGGTTGATTCTTTTATGTACCCTGAATGTGGATTGAACCCACAGCCTCAGTGTATTGGGACAATGCTCTAAACTGAGCTACCCAGCCAGGCCTTGAATATTATAAATCTTGATTTAAGGTCTTGCTTTCCACTTTTTCACTTAGAGTTGTATGACCTTAGAGAAGTCACTCCACCCCTTTTAGCACTATCCCATCTGATACTTTGTGTGAAGTTCAGGGCAGACCAGTTCCTCAGCACAGTGCTGGGGCACAGAGTATCTGTTTCCAGGTGGATTATTATTCACTTTTTTGCCAGACCCTAAATCTTTGCTGAGGTCTCAAACCTTCCAGACCAGGAAATATGATCAGACTGGGCAGGCACTGGGGCAGCCATAGAATTTGGTCAGCTTCCTCCAAGGAAGAGTTTTCCCTTGAAATCTCTCACTTCTACAACCCCCATTTCCCAACCCATTTTTCTAAGATGAGGTGGGAGAAGTTAGAATTCCCGAAGAATGGGGAGGAACTTCCCAAAGGACAGAGCAGGGAATAAGGGTGGGAGAAGAGTGGGGACATCTGCTTCAAGAGAGGAAAGCAAGGAGAAATGAGGATTCCAGAATGTCAGCTGGCATTTCAGAGACAGAGGGTTGTGTGGAAACCCTATTCACCCAGATTCAGAGTAGTATTGACTTAACCATGGCCCTGTCTAATTTCCAGAGATGTACTCTGCTCAGGCTAGGCTGGGGATCCCCAGAAGGACCTGCCCCATCTCCCATTCCTCTTGAGCTGTCAGTTGACCTCCCTAGAGTCAAACATTCACTGGGGAAGGGAGAGCAAAAGACCACATGACCTCTTGGTGTGGGGTTGGGGAAAGCAGGGAGGGTCTTACCATCTGCTGTGCCTGGGATTTCTTGATGTTCTAACACCCACAGCTCCTTTTTGCTATATTCTTGCTATTCAAAGTAAGGTCCATAGACCAGTAGTAGTGGTATCATCATCTAGGAGCTTGTTAGAAATGCAGAATCTCAGGTTCCACCTAGTTCTGCTGAATCAGAATCTGCACTTAAAGAGATTCTCAGGTGATTTTTATGTACATTAGAATTTGAGTAGCACACTACTACTACAAATGATTTTTTTTTTTAGTCTTGAGGCAGCACTTTAAAAAATGAGAAATAACAAAGTGCTATGGATTAGGAGAAGGGGTATGGTGGCTAAACCATATGTGTCAGTCACTTTCCCTCTCTGAGCCTGGTCTGGGGAGTGAGGCAGCTACTCTTGCCACATCCTCACACACCTTCCAGATCTTCCCACCTAATAAGTTCTAGTTGAGAACAGTGCTCACATCATACCCACGGTATCAGAGACAGTAACCCAGCACCTGTCCCCTATTTACAGATGGTCCTTACATCAGGGTAACTCCTTGGACCCACCCCCAGGATCAGGCTGCATCTTGCCATCCCCATGGCAACCTCTGCCATCCCTCCTTTTGCTTATCATCTTCTCTTCCACTAGTGACAGAGAATGCCAGTCTTTTGCACCAGCCTTAATTCCATCCAGAGGCTTTGGGACTTAAACATTTCCTCCTTTTGCCTGCATCACATTAGGGCTCATTCCACACTCTTCTCCTCACCTCACTGCCACCCTACCACCCATCCAGTTTGGGAATCAATAAGATCCCTTCTTCCTTGTCCATGTTCATCAGTTCAACAAATATTCACAGCACACCTGCAGGTACAAGGCCCTGGGCTAGGATGGGCTCTGGGGAGCCAGCAGTGAACAAGAGAGCTGGGGTTTCTGCCTCATGAAGTAGACACTCTGAGGGAGAAGACAGGTATTAAACACACAGTGATACCATTGATATATTCAGTACCATTTATTGATTGTATCAACAATTGTTTGCTGAGTACCTACAATGTGCTAGACACTCTGCTAGGCACTCAAAACTCATCAGTGGAAAAAAAAACACAAAAATCCTGTTCTTCTCAAATGTAAAATTGTTCTAAGTATATTGGCAGTTTGGGTTCTTTGCATCTGCCACCTCCTCCCACTCAAGGTTTAAAAAGAGCCATGACTAATTACATTTTGTCTTGTCTTATCTTGGGAAAAACTCCAATCCTGTTAAGCCCTGAGAAGAGATGTTCTCTCTCTAAATCCTCCAGCAGGGGCAGGATATCATGCCCTTTGCATTCCTCTCCATCTATATAAGTGACCCCATGTCTTGGATCAACTCCTGGCTGGTGAGGAGGTCCACAGAGGAGGCAGGACCCTGCCAGGGTGCTGGGGAGCTTCCTGCCCCAGACCTTGCTCCCCTGCCTCAGTCTCCCTTTTTTCCTCCATCTCTTCCCTCTTATCTTCTTCCTTGTTTGCCTCCCTCCCTCTTTCACCTTCCTCTCCCTTACCTTCTTTCCCTTCCTCCAAGTGGTGGCCATTTCTCCTCAAGGCCCAGATACAGTCCTTGCTTCCAGACTGGAACATGTACCACAGCTGCTTGGCAGAAGGCATCCCCAGAGTTGCAGCAACTCCTGGATCTCAGGTGAGCCTCTGCCAGGCCACCACCCAAGCTCCAGCAATGATGCTGGAGGCACTCAAACCCCTCTCTGCCCCAGGTTTCGCCTTCCCCAACTGGGCCTACAAAGCTGAGTTGTCCCCGGGCTCCCAGAAGATCCAGCTGTGGCACTTCATCCTGGAGCTGCTGTAGAAGGAAGAGTTCCACCATGTCATTGCCTGGCAGCAGGGAGAGTACAGGGAGTTTGTATCAAGGATCCAGGTGAGGTGGCTCACCTCTGGGGCCGCAGGAAGTGCAAGCCACAGATGAATTATGACAAGCTGAGATGGGCCCTCAGGTGAGAGGAGGCAGCCCAAGTGGCCAGACAGGGCAGAGTTCAAAGAAAAGGGCTGCTGTTTCTGGCACCCCATCTGATTCCTGCCCTTTTAAAGCTTGGGAAATGCTCTTGAGTGTGGTCAGATGCCTTGTGCTTATCCAGAAACAGCTCTGGATTAGCCTTGCGGGCCTGGGGAGGGGGACATAGCTGGGTTTTTGGCTACACTCTCTGCCCACTGGGCTAACTCTCCATTCTCACCCTTTGGATCTTCAGACATTACTACAATAAGAAGATCCTGCCCAAGATCAAAGGCAAAAGATTCACATGCAGTTCAACTTCAGCAAGCTCATCATAGTCAACTATCCTTTAAGGGAGATACAGGCAGCACCAGCCCCCAACCTGCTGCTAGGGGCCCCTGCCTTTTTTCGGCCAGCCATGGTGCCCATGAGCATGCAGAGTGAGGTAGGTATGAAGGCAGCCCCTAGCCCTTGGGGTCCATCAGTCTCCCAGCAGAACCCCAGCCTTCCTTTCTGCCTCAGGGACCCATCAGCTTCCAATGTCATACTTCCCCTGTATCATAGTCACTGAATGTCCCAGGAGCAGGATTGATACTCTAAATCTTCTAAGATACTCTAATATTCCTGTGCTAAGCATCACTCCTTTAGGAGTGGATCACAGGGAAGGAAGTAGGGGTATCAGTCCAGGATATATGGGCAGGGGTGATTTAACAACCATGGTCAGGGTATTTCATTAGTTTAAAAAATGGTTGTTAAACAGTGTGTCCTGGGGAATGCATGCCACGGAGAACCCATTCTACCCCCACACCTTCTTCCCCTCACTCCACAGCTCCTACACAACATGCTGCTCACCCACTGGGCCATGGTGGAACAGATGGCTAGACAGTGACCCCCTGAGGGCCACCAGAGCCCTCTGGGGGTAAGAAGGGGAGCAGCAGTGTCTACCATGAATGCTTGGGACTGGGGAGGGCCCAGGGGGCCTTAACCAGAGAAGGGGAGCACCCTTTGGATGAACAAATGAGTGAGGGCACATGAGATAAGCCTTGCAGGACATTTGGTCCTGGCCAAAACACCCACTCCAAAAGGCCCCTGACATTTGGTCCTGTCCCAAATGCCCACGGAGACATTCAGTCCACCCAGACCCATCTCCCTAACCCATATGCCATGACCAGCTGGGCCACTGAGGCAAGAAAGATTATTGACAATACAGCCACAACACTATTATTGGACCAATAAGACATGATAGTATTTTTTATGTATTAACCTGTAAACCAAAAGTAGAAATAAACACTCTGGATGTTGAACCCAGGGACATTTTCTAACAGTAGAGGTTTTGGACAGGACCAAATTTCAAGGACATTTGGCATGACCAAACATCTCTGTGGATGTTTTGGGCAGGACCAAATGCCTGCCAATTAAGATAAGGGATAATATAAGCCATTTATTCATTCACCAAACATTTCTTCAGCACCAGCAATTATTAGGTTTGGGGGTTCAGAGACGAAAAATGGCCCTCAAGATGCTCAGAGACTAGTGAGGGGCAGAGATGGGAATACAGCTAGTGACAGATGCTGAGATCTGGGGAAGCAAATGCTGCTACAGGAATGCAGAGAAGGTAGTTAAAGCTTCTTAGAGGAGGCTGTACCTGAGCAGGTGAAACAGGTGGAGAAAAATGCCCAGGCACAGAATGGCATTTATAAATCTAAAAGTTGTGAACAAGTGTAGCAAATTTGAAGAACTACCAGTAGCTTGCCATGATCAGAGAGTGAGTTATGTGATGGTAGTGGAGACAAGGAGGAGGGTGACCGATGAAGCTAGCAAAGTAAACAGGTGTCCAGTAGCAGATGTCCTCCAAAGCAATGCTAAGGAGGTTGGACTTTATCTTGTGAGCAGGGGGTATCTAGGAAGGAAGAGGTATGTTAAGATCTTCATTTTACTAAGATGACTTGAGTTAATTTAGATTTTGGTTTGGAGTGGGCATAGACTAATATTAGGAGTCTTTTGAAGACAATCTAGGCTGAAGAGGATGGAACCAGAGCCAAGGAAAGGACCATGGCATGGAGAAGGAAGCCAACTGAAGAAAGATCAGAAAGATAAAGTTCACTCACTCATTTCTTCTTTCAACAGATATTTAATGACCTCCTGTTTAATGTGCCAGGCATTGTCCTAGGGCTGGGAACACCAGCCTGAGTGAGCAAGACTGCTTTTATAGAGCTTGTAGGTAAGAGGGAGTTTGCAGATACTCAGTTAATATCTTAACAAATCCATATGAAATTATAACTGTGTTCACTGCTGCAGAGAAGTTCAGGGGGCATAGAGCATCTAAGAAGACTTCCTTGACAAAGTAACATTTGAGCTGAGACCCAAAATGTAAGAGGCTCCAGCTTAGTTTCGAAGGAGGGAGGAGAGCATGGCAAACAGAGAGAACATGTGTGCAAAGGTCCTAGGACAGGGAAAAGGAGCTAGGAGAAAGCAAATATGGCCACATATAATGATCTGCGGGGAGAAGGTAGAAATGTATGCAGAGGCCAGCACTTACAGGGCTGTAAACTAAGAAGTGACAAAGTCAGATTTTCTATATAAAAGATCACAAAGACATGGGCTCTTAATGCAGAGGCCAATGACCCACCCCTTTATTCCTTGGCAGTTTCTTGGAATAAGAATTCTTGGCCTTAGTCCCACCCCTAGTGTAGCTGGGGACCCAGAAGTCCCCGCTCTCAGAGAACACAGGGGCCTGGTTCTGGGTCCCTGTGAATGCAGCTGAGGGTGTGGGTGTGGGCAGCCCAGGGCCTGCTGGAACTCATCTGGCAGCCTGGAGCCAAATAGCACCTGAACAGTACTGCCTGTTCTTCCCGCCCCCATCCACCCCTTCCCAGCTCTGGGAATGCCTTGAGCACAGAGCTCCTCTCTTTGGGAAACTATGAGGGGAGAAAAAGTGTTCCCTGGCTTGGAGTGGGTTATTTTGTACCTCCCTACTCTCTGCAGGTACACACACAAACCTGCCTGTGCTTGGGCCCTGAGGGAAGGTGTAGGTCACCAGAAGACTAGTAGCAGCCACATGCCTCACTTCTGGATGGTGATTCAGAAAGCTGTGCCAGCCCCTCCCCTCCACCTTCCCTCAGAGTACATGGTGCCAAGAGAGGAATCTGGTTCTGGGCAGAACAGTGTCCAAGACTATTGAGCCAGAGACAAAAGCTGCAAGATTGGTGCTAGGAAGGGGCGGGAAAGAAGCAGGACTATCTCCTCCACATGCCTACTCACCTGTGGATCTCCTAGGGAGACACAGCCCTGACCTCAGGGGTCAGGGGACACAACCTTCTTGGTGAAAAACAGCAGTCTCCACCTCATGTAAGGACCTACAGAAAAAGACAGTGGCCTAGAAGGGGGTCCTCTGGCTGAGGTCTCCACACTTTTCCTCACAAAGGATCATTTTTACTATTTTCCCCTTACATAGATCCAACTTCAGAAATATTGTTTCTCTTAAATAAATCGGTTACATTTTTATAACTAATTTGTTTTTCCAGTTTTTATCAACAATAGCCCCATCAATGGGATCACATGGAGGTGATACTTGCTCTTCTAGTTAAATGATGTAGCCTGATAAGAAAAATGTGAAACTAGTGTTAGGTTTTTGAAATATAGAAAGTGACATGAAGTTCTATATAGCCATACCTAGACACCCCAAGCTGGGAGCCCCTATGTATAATCCTAGAAAAAGAAGGCAGATTTGGAAGGAATGGAAGGAGGGAAGGCTTCTTGGAGGAGAATAGTTCTGGGCCAGAGCCAGCCAAAGAAGAGGAGGACCGGGGCTCATTCCATGTGCACCCGGTCCCTGGCTCCCTGGGCCCCTTCTTATTGATGATGCCACTTGTTCTTAGCTAGCAAAGGGATTTTTATGGATGAAGAAACAGGCCTGAGAATTTCAACAACATGTCTAGGGCCATGCAACCAGTCCTTTGCCCAGCTAGAACTGGAGCCCTCTGCTACAGGGAGAGTAAAGAATGGATTCACTGGGTTATGGAAAAGAATATCTTCAATCATTCAATCAACACATTTTTACTGAGCCCTTAATATGTGCCGGGTTGGGCGGGATCCAGAGGAAAGTAAAACAGAATGTTCCTGTCCCCACAGAGCTGTAATCACACAAATGAGTACCTGATGCTAATCAAGCAAAGGGCCCTGGAGGAGGGGCACTGGGGGTCCTAAGGAACAACCAGGATCCTTGCCCAGGCTGGGGTGATCTCAGCCTCCTGGAAGTGATCACTTCCTCCAAGGAAGTGAAATTTACAGTGAGACATGAAGCAAAGAAAAAAAAGAGGGCATGTGGGAGGAGAGAAAGTTTTAAGCAACAGAAAAAAGAAAAGTGAAAAGGGGGAAGATAAGTCGGTGGGGAGGGACACTCTCTTGACCCTCTTTCTCTCCCTTTCTCTAGGACTTGGCTCTGCCTCCGCCCCCTGCCTGCTCTACCCTTGCTGCCACTTGGGGAGCTTCCCAGAAGAGCTGCCCAGTTTTGCCTCCTTCACCCCTCCCCTTCTACCCTCTCTCCCCTCTGACTAGACCCGCCTCTCAGGTCCCTTCTTGCCCCCTCTCCTCCCGGAGCAGCAGTTTCCAGGGTCCTCCAAGCCAGACACTCTGCTTCCTGGGCCGATGTGCCCCTCAGCAGCCTGGAATTTTTCAGGGCTTCCCCTGTTGGCTGAGCTGGGACAGGGAGCTGGTGAGAGGCTCAAGTCTCTTGTCTCTTAGGCAGGAAGTGTTGGAGATAAAGCTGCACCCCTCAATGAGGGCAAAGCGATGCCTGGATCCCTGGGAGGGCTTCTCCTCAGAGATACGTGGACCCAAAATTGGGGAGAAAAGTCCTATGTCCCCTAATTTGGAGAATTTTGAAGCAGTGTGGACCTTGGATCCTCCTTAACTGGGGAGGAATATGTGAAGTGGGGGACCTCCAAACTCCATTTCTCCTCTCACCCACCTCCCTCCTGGCTCTGCACCTTCCTGTAGGTGGAAATTGGTTTACATTGCAGGAGGATTTGAATGAATGGAGTTGGACCCAAGAGGATGGGGGCATTGCCATGAAGGAGCGAGCATACGTGGGTATGGGAAAAACTGAGGAAGGGTGCCTCCTCCCCATCCACTAAACTGCTAATCAGTTTAAGGAGAAATTCTTTTTCTTTTCTTTTTTATTGATTTGAAAGAGAGAGAAACATCATTTTATTGTTCCACACACCTATGCATTCATTGTTTTTTTTCCCCCATATGTGCCCTGACCAGGGATCAAACCTGCAAACTTGGTGTGCTGAGATGACACTCTAACCAACTGAGCTAGCCCACCACAGCTCTTTTTTTTATTTTATTGATTATGCTATTATAGTTGTCCCACTTTTTTCCTCCCCTTTATCTCCCTCTGCCCAGTACCCCATTCCCTCCAGCATTTCCTCCACTATGTAGTTCATGTCCATGGGTCATACATATAAGTTCTCTGGCTTCTACATTTCCTATACTATTCTTAACCTTCCTCTGTCTATTTTTTTAAAGGTTTATTTATTTATTTTTACAGAGAGGGGAAGGGAAGGAGAAAGAGAGACAGAAACATCAATGTGTGGTTGCCATTAGCAGGCCCCCTACGGGAGACCTGGCCTGCAACCCAGGCATGTGCCCTGAATGGGAATCAAACCAGTGACCCTTTGGTTCACAGGCCGGCACTCAATCCATTGAACCACACCAGCCAGGGCCCCTTATCTATTTTATACCTACCAATCATGCTTCTTATTCCCTGTACCTTTTCCCCCATTCTCCCCCTTACCTTTCCTCGCTGATAATCCTCCATGTGATCTCCATTTCTGTGTTTCTGTTCCTGTTTCAGTTGTTTGCTTAGTTTGTTTTTGTTTTGTTTTTTAGGTTCAGTTGTTGATAGTTGTGATTTTCTTGTAATTTTGCTGTTCATATTTTTAATCTTCTTCTTCTACTTAAATAAGTCCACTTAACATTTCATATAATAAGGGCTTGGTGATGATGAACTCCTTTAACTTGACCTTATCTGGGAAGCACTTGATCTGCCCTTCCACTCTAAATGAAAGCTTTGCTGGATAGAGCAATCTTGGATGTAGGTCCTTGCTCTTCATGACTTTGAATACTTGTTGCCAGCCTTTTCTTGTCTGTAAGATTTCTTTTGAGAAACCAGCTGATAGTTTTATAGGAACTCCTTTGTAGGTAACTCTCTTCTTTTCTCTTGCTGCTTTTAAGATTCTCTCTTTATCTTTAATCTTTGGCATTTTAATCATGATGTCTCTTGGTGTGTTCCTCCTTGGGTCCAACTTGTTTGGGACTTGCATGTCTGTTTCCTTCTCCAGACTGGGGAAGTTTTCCTTCATTATTTTTTCAAACTGTTTTCAGTTTCTTGCTCTTCCTCTTCTCCTTCTGGTACACCTGTCATTCAGATGTTGGAAAGTTTAAAGTTGGCCCAGAGGTTCCTAAGCCTCTCCTCCATTTTTCGAATTTGTATTTCTTCATTCTGTTCTGGTTCAATGTTTATTTCTTCCTTCTGCTCCAAATGATTGATTTGAGTCCCAGTTTTCTTCCCTTCATTGTTAGTTTCCTGTGTATTTTTCTTTCTTTCACTTTGTATAGCCTGTACTTCTTCCTTTATTTTGAGACTATACCCAATCATTTCTGTGAGCATTCCGATTACCACTGTTTTATATCTGGTAATACAAAACACTGTGCACCTGATAGGTTGGCTATCTCCTTGTCACTTAGTTCTTTTTCTGGAGTTTTGATCTGTTTTTTCATTTGGGTCATATTTCTTTGTCTTAGCTCCTGTTTCATTGTAAGGGGCAGAGTCTTAGGTATCCACCAGGGCAGGGCAACCCATGTTACTGTGTCATGGCTCTGTATGTGGTGGAGGGGTCAGAGAGGGAACAATGTTGCTTGCTCCCAGCTTTCAGTCACTTCCCTCACTTCCCACAAGCACATGATGCTCTTCCAGTTGCTGCCCTGGTGCTGATTTCCTGAGTGGGTGGGTTTGTATATGTTCTAGAACCCTGTGGACCCCTCCAATGGACTCTCCTTAGAAATGGTAGTTTCTTCTACCACTGCAACCACCACAGATTTTTCACAGCCACAGGTTTTGAGGCTTTATTGCCCAGTGCTGGAACCCTGGGTTACGTGGTCTGTCTCACTCCCCAGTTGTTCCTCCCAGTTTTTATCTGCATGCAAATGTGGGGTCTCCTTGTCTGCCAGCTGCCACCTCACTGCACATCCTCTCTGCCCTGGTTCCCCATCTCTTCCTATCTACCAGTCTGGATGAATATTTCTTCTTTAACTCCTTGGTTGTTAGACTTCGATATGGTTCGATTTTCTGGTAGTTCTGGTTCTTTTTTGTCTTTAAATTGGTTGTTATCCTTCTTTTGGTTGTGCGAGGAGGCAAAATGTATCTACCTATGCCTTCATCTTGGTCAAAAGCCCCACTTTTCTATTTTATTTTTTAAAAATCCTCACTCAAGGATATGTTTTTTTTGTTGTTGGTGGTGGTTTTTTTAGAGAAAGAGGGTGAGAGAGAGAGAGAGATCACTGTGAGAGAGAAACTTCAATCTGTTGTCTCCCATACACACATTGACCAGGGATCAAACCTGCAACCTAAGTGTGTTCCCTGACCAGGGGTGGAATCTGCAACCTTTTGGTGCACATGCTGATGCTCCAACCAATAAAGCCACCCAGCCATGTCAAGGAACATTCTTAATCTCAACTTTTTTTAAGGGACATGAGAGTAGGGTTTCATCATTTGAAGTACCCCACACCTGCCCACATGAGGAAGAAATCACAGGTCTCATTTGGGAAGGGATCAGGAGTTGATTTGTTCCCTGAATCTCAGGGCAACCCCCTCCTTCTGTGAGGCCCATGTTCCTTACCCAGTCTCCCTCTTGCCCCTCCATGCACTTCTTTCCCATCCTTCTGATTTCTGTGACCCTGAGATGTGCATGCAGGTATGTCCTTCGATCTCCATTTCCCAAGACCCAATCAAGTGGAGCCAACAGGGACTCTGTAATACTCTACTGCAGACCATAAATAAAATGCCCTTGGCAAACTTCCTTCTTGGCTGACATTCCTGCTGCTCTCTGATCTGTTGTGGACCTAAACACTGGGATGAGGCCTGGAACAGCTATGGAAATGAAGCCAGCCAGTCTCCTCCCTCCTGCTGCCCTCATGTCCCAGAAATAAAGGCTGAAAGAAGCCACTCTGGAGATGTAGAAAACCAGCCTCAAGGAAAGAACAGAGCAGAGCAGGGATCTTTCAGAATGACCCTTGGATGCCTGCTGTGTATCTCTAAGCAGAGCTTAAGGGGCAGGGGTGAAGGATGGCACTGGCAGAGTCCTTCTTGTTCTGAACTTCAGGTCCTAAAAGTGGTGACAGGGCCTGATTGAAGCATTGGCTGGAGAAGGGGAGACACATGAAAGATGGTCTTTTGCTTAACCAAGGAAGGTGACTGAACAATATTGCTCTCCTATCTCCAGGCTGTCAATGACAGGTTCAGGATTTGTCTCCACTTCCTTTCTATGATGAGTAGCAGGGACCAAGGAGGTGCACAGGGTCTCTTTGTCCATCATTTGTCCCTGTCACTCATCCAAAGAGTAAGGGTGCTTCCCTCTCTCTGTGATCCCTGTACTTTTTCCTTTCTGCTGCCTCTCAGTGCTTCTTTGTGGTAGGTGCATCACTGTCACAAATGGAAGGGGAAAGAGAGACCCAGAGTGGGGCAGGGTTAGGCCTCACCCCACAGGAAGGTTGAGAAGAGCAAGAAACACAGACCCAAGCCAACAGAAATAATCTAAAGGTATTCCTCATCTCAATCTCCCTCCTGTACCCTAGATGCCTACAAAGGGGGACCTCAGAGTGTCTCCACCAGGAGATCCCAGGGACTACAGAGAAAACTACTCCTCACTTCCTCCTAAAGCCACAGGCCCAAACACCAAGGCTTTCCCAATAACTTGCCCAGTTTGGGAAGACAAAGAGTTAGGGCTGTCTGCTCTAGAAAGAGGGGCTTAAACCCAGTTTAGAGAGGCCAGCCCCAGGGACAGAGTCCCATAATGAGAACCCATGAGTCCTCTGCCTTGTGTCTTCTTCAGTGGTTTGTGGTTGCTGAGCCTGCAACCCCCGCTCCCCCCCACCCCCGCTTTCAGGCAATACTGTGCTTCACTATTCTAAAATTTCCCTTTGGGGTAGGTGAACTTAGGAGACTGAAAATTTTAGTTCCAGAGGACAGAAGTTTCCAGGTGGCACAGTTTGCATTTTTGACAACAGATTCAGGTAGAACAAAGCTTGACAGCCTCAGCACTATTGATATTTTGGACTGCAAAATTCTTTGTTGTAAGGAGCTATATGTACATTCCAGGATGTTTAAATATCCTTGGCCCCTAGAGAGCAATAAGCACCCTCCTTTCCTTTCCAAACATTGTGAATGGTCCCCTGGGGGGAAGAAATCGTCCCTGGTTGAGAATCTCTTCAGCAGAGAATGATGGCTTTCCCTATTCCGGGTTGTTGGAGCAAAGATGAGACTCGGGCTCTACACAGAGAACTGTTGGGTCCCACGTTGCAAGAGTGCCCTCTGATGGCCATAGTCAATACTAGCAATTGGAAGAGCTCAGAGCTCTAAACTAGCCTGGGTGGGTACAGTCCATGGGGAGCCCATAAAAAGACGATGGACAGCTTGGAGTCTTCTGAGAGGAAGACGCAAATCACAGGAGAAAAACATTGTACGTTAATCCTACCATCTCAAACTCCTTTTGAAAATCATGAACTATTCACCCAAGTCTATCAGCAAGTCTAATATGACAACAGACTGTGGGGTGTCAGTTCCTTTTGTACAATTGGCGCCGCTATCAACCCTAGATCACAGCTCCTGGTCATCTGTGGCCACCAGCC